CTTTGGTACAAGCACCGAGCTGCAGGTTTCAGCATGTACCAGCTGGCAGTGCCAAAATCAGATGAAGGTGGTAGCTGGAGGTCCAGTGTGAGATCTCTTTTTTTCTTCCTTCGTGGTAACTGCCACCATCTCTTCTTGTAATAATCACATTTTAATCAGAGTCCTACCTGTTCCTGTGAGAGAGAGTAGGTTTGGACTAGAAGGTAGCTGGAGGTCCAGTGTGACATCTCTTTTTTTATCTTCCTTCGTGGTACCATCTCTTCTTGTAATAATCACATTTTAATCAGAGTCCTACCTGTTCCTGTGAGAGAGAGTAGGTTTGGACTAGATAGATGGAATTTGAGATTTATTTCTGTGAGGGTGGTGAGGCAGTGGAACTGGCTGCCCAGAGAAGTTGTGGGTGCCCCATCCCTGGAAGCGTTCAAGGCCAGGGAGCTTTGGATGGGTCCAGTGGAAGGTGTCCCTGCCCAGAGGTGTTGGACCAGGATGACCTCAAAGTCCCTCCAAGCCAAAGCAGTCTGTGGCTCTGTGCCTGTTCCCCTGCTGCCCCTGGTCACTCCTGGCTCTGGGCTCCTGTGCCTGCTTAGGATGGAATTGGCAGCTGGCTGGAGAGAAGGAATGGGAGAACCAGATCCCCCATTTCCCTGCTGGGACACGCCTCCCCTGGCACTGCTGGGTTTGTGGCCAAGCTGTCATGGCTCACAGCTCTGGGTGGCACAAAGGGCCCAAACCTGGGCTGTGCAATGGGGCAGGAGCTGCTGCCACCCTGCAGTGCCTGGCAGCTGACAAGGCACCGGGACTCTCAGGGTGCAGCTTAGGGAATTCACTACAACCTCACCCTTCCCATCAGGATGCTGCCTGCTCAAAAGGGACAGCAAAATCACTGCATCCCTTTCCAATTCAAAAGGCTTATTAAAAGATAAATTAGTCCAATTTATGTTCTCAGTGCTTTCAGTGATTTTAGTATCTTCAGCATTAAAGCAGAGGCTGAATACTGTCGTTTTTCTTGTAAGAAGCTGGTTTCTGATTAAAGTCTTTGTCAGTGAGTGGGCAAAAAATTAGTGCATTAACAATCTAACAATGAAATCAAAGTGATTTAGAGTAGCGTTATCTAAAATTATTTTTTGTTAGTATGTGTAGTGTTCTTTTAACTGACGACAATGATTTATTTCTACTTAGATGAATGATGAAACCAATCAGTGCATTGCTTGAGAGATGCTTTGTTAAATTAGTCCCATATTCAATTGGGAGTCTTTAATCTATTGCTCCGTGTGCTTATTTGTCATTGAATTTGCAGGGGGATGTGCAGGTTCTTTTGTTTGCATGAATATGAACTAGAATGCCTTGACTGATTGTCAGTAGAGTTTCATTGTGTAAAAAGGGGAAAATGAGACAATGGGGCCTTCCTGTCTCTGGTTTTGTTGGGCGGTAACTTTTAAAAAAATGCCTTATGCAATTCATTTAATAAATTACTTGACTATGTTTACAAGGGAATTCATCCTGCTTATTTCCAATATGCAAGGTGTTACTATTTAAAAGTATTTGTAAATTCTATGGTAATTCTTGCTTAATAATGGGGATAAGTTTGTGGTTTTCTGGTACATTTTCTGTCAGACTAAATAAACTGAGGCTGTTTTTTTCCAGTCCACCCACAAGACTCTGGCCATTCATAAAAATTTTATGAATGAGGAAAATAACATGTTGACAATGAAAATAGCAATTTCAGGAAGCTCATATTAGTGGAAATGCTTTTCTTACAACTCTGCTGCCTAAAGCCAGCATTTGTTAGGCTAGCTTAGAATTCTAAGGAGAAAAACAGCTGAGCTTTTTGTGACCATTTAGCATGAATGAGAGCTGGGTCCCTTTAATGTGAGAATTTGCACACTGTCAACTATGAACTGATAATTTGCCTAGCAAAGTGTAGTGATGTAGAAGGTAAAGAAGGAAAGCATTAGAAGGTTTTGTGGAGAGAAAAAAAAAAATTCATAGTTGCTTATGGGCAACACTTGAGTCTAGGACTTGTATCAGTTTTGTGTGACCAAACAGTTTTGTGTTTGTTTGGACAAAGAGCTCCTGGAATGCGCCTGCAGTCTCAGCAATAACACAGATCTGTGTGAAAAACCAGTCATGTGCAAGACAGCAAATTCAGGGTTCTCCCAGGTCATCCTGACTAATTGCTCTTCTTTGAGCCCAGAGCACCTGAAATGCCACCAAGCAACAGACAATTGATCCTTTGGGCTTTGCACCCCTGCACGCTGGTAATGGCACTGGAATGATGCCTTTTGCTTGATGCCTGTAGGAAGTTTAAAAGTGCTGTCTTGTGGAAAACAGGCCATTGAACATTTTAAGCTAAAGGCTGGTGTGTGGACTCTGATGTCTGTGCCATGTCCTGAGTCTTCAGTACTTTGCTGGGGGAGGCAGAAGAGTCTGTGGGCATGGTGGCTTTCCTCTAGGAGTGGTGTCCAGCCTGGTTCTCCTCCTGTGTGCACGGAGCAAGTGCATCTTCACAGCCTAGGCAGAGGGACAGCCACCGTGAGGATAGAATCTGCCCCTTCTGCTTTCCTTTGGCCTCTTCAGGTCACCCTGTCAGCCCTGATCTTGTTCTTTGACTTCTCAGACTCTCTCAAGTGATGGCTAGTCCAAGATGTGATCCAAACCCGGGAATTATTTTGTTGTTAATCAGTAGCTATACCTTGGCAGGTGTGATTAAGTAGTTGCATTGTGAAACTTTTGGAAATTTATAGGCTTGGCTAATCCTTTGTTTTAAGGGAAAGGGAGTGCTGTTCTGAAATGAATAGGCTGTTTGGACAAGAGCCACTAGGAGTGAATTTAACAGGACTAAGCAGTAAATGGGGGGAAGAAGAATTAGAAGGATAATGATAAGCAGCAAATAAGGGTTTGATTAATGAAAAATGAGTGTAATTTGGAACCAATGTGTGTTGATGCCATTGTTTGTTAGAATGTAGAAATTGTCTATTTACACAAAGTGTGGGCTCCCACCAAGCTCCCTACTTTGTACAAAGTAAAATAAAAAATAGAGCTACCTCATCTTAGTGTGGGAGTTTTCTGTACACAGCGGGTAGCAAGGCTGAAGGACAAGAGTTTCAAAACTTCATCAGCTTCTGAATACCAAAGTATGTATGCAAATGAGAACTGGTACTAGAATCTCTGAGCAAAACAGGAAATAAACCTCCCTTGAAGGACAGCAAATCATCTCAAGCAATATTAAAGGCTATTTGCAACTCAGAATTTGGAAGCATTTAACAACTGCTAAATGTCTGTTTGGGGAGTCTAAAGGCACAGAATTTGTGACAGTGCCCACTACTCTTAAAACAAGGGTTGATGTCTGCTGTCTTTGTGGTTTGGCACAGCCTTTGTATAACCAGCTGTCTTGAAGGGAGCTTTGATGTATCTTTAGGAAAGGTACTGTTATTTATAGAACACATCTAGTCTACCTTTCCTCTGCTTCCCACCCCCGTGCCTTGACAGAGAATGTGAGTTCTCATTTGATCAGGGTCACCTCAGGGGTGAGATGTCCTTTGAGTCTCAAGATATGCTCCTGATCAGTAACTGTAAGTTAACTCTTCTTGAGAAGGCAGATGCAGGACAAGAATGCAGTTGCATATTCAGTATTGCTCGCTGTGCTATCAGTGCATTCCTAACCATGGCTGATTCTCAGATGCTAAAACTTACTTTTCTGCTTAAGCATATGTTAATCCAGAGTTAGATTTTTCATTAGAAAGCAGGTTGTGACTTTATACAAGCTGAACAGAGTCTAGTTTGCAGAGAAAGGTAGACAAAGCAAGTAAATCCAGGAAGAAGAGAAATAAGACAGCAGGAATAAGTTCTAAAAAACGCAGAGTCTGTGCTGCAATCCTGGCTCTGCTTTCTGGACCGTGTCCTGTCTTGCAGTGCCTGGTGAATGTATGATGCAATGCCAGATGCTGCTCTGTACATGCAAGTGAGGCCACCCAGAGAGAATTGTTCTGTGCTGCTGCATCCTCTCTCCCTGGCATCCCTGTTCTGAGGCCTGTGCAGTAACTCCTGTCTCTGCTGCAAAGTCAGGCTTTGACAGGTTTGATAAATAAAAATCCCTGCACAATTTTTTTGCTTGAGGAGAATATTAACTCTTGTATTGCAGACAAATCACATTCTGTGACTGAATCACACTGCTTTAAATTCATGTCTCTTCAGCACCTTTTTTTTTGTGTGTGTGCTGCTTACATGGCTGACAGGAACATGTCCCATCCATACTTTGGGATCCTCTGGAATGAGGACTATGCAGATCTAGTATATTATGTGTTTGGTGCACGGGATCCCATGACCATTTGACTTTGGACTTTCATGCCCTGTTGAGCAGCATACAATGGTCCCTCAGCTGAAATGGTCCCCTTCTAATTTTAATTTATGCTGATACTAATTTGTAATGTGTCTGGGCAACTGGCTGTTTAAGGAGGTGCTGTCAAGCTCCAGATATTTTTGCCTAAGGCTCTGGATTGACCTGTCCCAGCAACACAGCCATGGAGAGAGCCAGCGTGGCTCCAGATTCCCAGTACACTTCTGTCATCACAGCCCTCCCTGTTCCTTCCTTCCTTCCTCAGAGGTGTCTTTTGTATATCAGCTCAGGAAGATCACTCTCATGGATTGTTTTTCCTGTTTTCCTATTTGTCTTGTTTCCCCTGTGTCCTTGCAGCTTGCCTGGAAGGCTTGTGAGCTGCCTGACTGGCCAGTTCTGCATCAGGAACAGGCGGTTTTGGTTTTGCAGAAAATCATCTTCTGTGTAATGTTTGTTGCATCCTGGTTTGGGGAGTGGGGATCAGACTGGTTCTACATGTACTTACCAGCTAACTTCTGTACTCTTTTTTCTTTCCTTCACTCCTAATTCTCCTTTTACTTTCTGTCACTTTGAGCCCTAACACCTCCCTGGGTTCTCCAGGAATGGCTGCTACAAAGATGTTTGTGTTCTCCTCTGTAAAACTGGTCTTGTTTTGTGTTGCTAGGCTACTCCCTTCCAGCTGCCACTGAAGAAATGTTCCGTGGTGGGAAACGGTGGGATCCTGAAGAAGAGTGGCTGTGGCAAACAAATAGATCAAGCAGATTTCGTCATGCGGTAAGACAGAAACCTTAATGACGCGTTATCCCCCCTTGCACCTGCTCAGCCTCAGCCTTTTCAGAGCTGTTCAGCTGGTGTTAATCAATGATCATTTGCCTTGTTGCACTGCCTTTGCAGGATGCTTTACACAAGCAATTTGGGCCAAAGTGTGAGGAGAGGCAAAAAGGAGTTTGGGCTTGGTTCTGCGAGGGGATATGGGGTGAGGGGACCGTGTGCTGGTCAGTGAAGTCGTGAGGGCTTGTGCAGTGTCTCAGGGAGGTGCTGAGGAGCTGCTTTTCTCATCGTTTATGCAGTGGTAGCCATGGTGCTTCATCCTGCTCTGTGCTCTGTCCTCTGAAACGAAACGCCATCTGTGCAACCCTCAGAACGAGTAGGGGCTGATTTATGGGGCAAGGCTTGAGCTGCTGCAAGCCAAAATCTTCCTTTTTCTTCCCTCAAGACTGAACTGTGGCTGTCTGAGGAAATGCCAAACTTCCTTTAATGTGAGGTTTTTGTGATTTTTCACATTTCCTTTCCCTCCAACCTTCCTTAATTTACAAGAACCTGTCAGGAGGGATGTTGAACCAGCTACTGCTTTTGTGATTAACTTTGGCACTGTCTAGGTCTGTGATCCTTAAGGAAGAAAGACAGAAATTAGTTCCTCCCTGATAAACATGAACAAGAGAAACCTTGTGGGGGAGGACTGCTCCAAAAGGGATGAGAACTGGAGTTTCTTTGGGTTTCTGATGGATGCATAATGAACACTCAGTATAACAAATCTCCTTATTAGATCCTGATAACTCATTATAAAACTACACAAATTTGCTCTAAACCATTCCTGTAATTTCTGGTTTGCCTCTCAAAGACCGAAAATGCCTTCATTGTTAAATGCCTGTTAACACAAAGAAACAGAACAAGTTAAAGGCCAAGGGAAGCATTTCCTTGGAGCACTTACAGAAGAGAAGATGTAAAGCACAGGGGGAGAGCAGCACTCTGACTGCCATTACTGCCAAACTCCTTAGGTGTTCCATGGGCTAAATACCAGAAACTGCAGCATGTGTGCAGTTTCTTGTATTCTATATTTTCTAGAAATTAAAATGCTGTAGGAGCAACCAGTTACAAAAAAAACCCCAGAAGTTAAAAAAAAACAAAACAAAAAACAAAAAACAAAACATCAAGAAACCAACAAAACAGCAGATATTTTAGCTTGATCATAAAACCCCATTTCTCTGCAGGGAGACTAAAGCAACCATTATATGTACAGAGGTTGTTTTGTTTTAGAAATAAGTGATAGGGAGAATCCTGTTAAAATCCCAGGCACTGTCTGAGGCTCTGTTGTATTAGTGACATGAAATAATTTTTATGGAAAATTTAGTTGGTCTTTTCTAAATCTCATTTCTATAATCTGAGATCTGAGGGAGAAAGAGCACAATGGTGACTTCCATAACACTTCTCATTTTTATAAAAGAAATTTGTAATATCTTCAAAGTATTTCTGCAGTGTGAAATGTCCTGCCAGGTCTTGCCCTTGTTTGTTAATTCCCTTCACGTGAGTTTTGATTTCACTTATGTATATTTCCATAAGCTTTGTCATGTGAGAGAAGATGGCTGCAGTCATATGTTGTAACTGCTAAGGTTATTTAATGAGTTTAGACTCATCTGGTTGCTGAGCATCTTCTACAAACACAGTTGTTCCAACACAGACATGAAAAGAGCAGCAGTTTTCAGCCCCTAAGGCACAACAAGCTGTATATGCAATGAGAAAGGTGCATATGCTCTCCATGTTTAGGTATTGTGCTTGTAATGGGCTCTTCTTCTGATTTTCAAGTTTCTAATTCTTGTTTCTAAGGAAAAAAAGAGTTTTTCCCCACTCCCTCCCTGCTAATGCTTATTTTAAGAGAGAAGTGTTGGGTAGTAGTTCTAAGCCATGTCTTTAACTCTGTTTTTCATGTACTTACTTCTCAGAACCAGATATAACAGTAAGAGAATTAAAAATTAAGTTTCTTAGTATGAGTCTTGTGCTTCAGTGTGTTCCTCACCTGCAGAACACTCAGCACTCTGCTGACCAATCCAAGAAAATAATTGGGAAGGTCAAGTAACAGATTTCCTGCAGTTTCCTGTGAATTCTCAGGCCATTACTTAATGTTTCCTGCGCTGCAAAGTGGGAATCAGACTTACTGATGATGTGTTTAAATAATGCATCTGTGACTGGCTTATGAAAGAATTGTCATTAATTAGATGCTGAGATGATAAAAACTAGGGTGAGGTCTTGTCCTTCATAGTGGTTTTAAATCAACTTGAACCAAAAATGATTTTTTAAAAGCGTGCTCTAAGAGCTTGTGTTTATTCAAAGCAGAGAGCATTAAATTGTGATCTGCCAGAGATGTGCCACCCCTCTGCCCTAGGGCAAATCAGCTGTAAATCTTCCTTCACAAATATTTGTTTGACTTTTATTTTACTTTATTTTAAGGAACTTTTTCTTGTTAAGATTTTATAATTTATGTCTGAGAATTTAAATTTCCCTATGCTTCTGGACTTTCCCCTTCCCATCCATGATTGCAGTTTCTGAAGCCTATCAGTCCTGAATGCCATCTAAAGTCTTGACTGTCTTTGTGTGCAGGTGCAACCTTCCTCCTCTGTCCAGTGAATACAGCAAGGACGTTGGATCCAAAACCCAACTGGTGACTGCAAATCCCAGTATAATTCAAAAAAGGTAGAGAGCAGATTTTTCCTTTTCTGATCGGGGGTAGACAAAGAGACAAGCGCTTCATCAGTGTTATAGAAATTGGTGCATCAGAGTTGTGTTCCTAATAATCCGATATTGGAAGGGGGTCTGGAAAAGGCGCAGTAGGCAATGCTTTGGTGTTAGGTGAAATAATTAAAGGCTAAACCTCTGATGCTTTCAGTGCAGGCAGGGAGCTCAGGGAGGGGTGTGTTGGTGGGTGCCCCAAGCTGCTCTGCTGGCCAGGCAGGCTGGCTGCTGCATCCCACCGTTGATGAAGATGCTGATTTGGGCTGCTCCTTTTTTCAGCTCACAGAACCTCTGGGTCTCACTGCCTTCGCGTTATTTGTTTGATGCTGACTTACAGTATAAAAGGGGTCAGGGTAGAACTGCTTGGCAGGGTGTGATCATACAAGCTTGGCTTTCTTAGGGAACTGAGACAAATTTGTGTTGTTAGAGTTGGTTGAAATTTTCCAAATGTCAGTCGCTGATGAGAGTGGGGAAAAATGTCAGTGCTATCTCTCTGATTTTTTTTCCTGAATTTTAATTGCCATGTTCTTTGTTTATCCTCTGGAATGAGGTAGGTTGTTCTCAGGCAGAAGACGATCTGGTAGTAACCTGCCATGTTCACTGAAAAACACAAGAGAAAAAATATGAACCAAGGGGATGAGCAGGAAATGATATCGGCATAAAGAAATGTATAATGTGAGTACTGGCAGGTGAAGGCTTGTGAAAGGAAGCAAAGCAGGGAAAATAAATGCATGGTAGAAAGCCAGGTGTTTTATAAAGAAAGGCACTGGCTTGGAAATGGATGTTTGATGGTATTTAAATGTGATATTTTTCCTCTCTGAGGCATTGAAGGGTTCTGTAGTTCAGTGTGTGGCAGAGATGACAGTCTTTGACAGAGTAGAACAGAGAGGACAAGCAAGAGGGAAATGGAATAATAGTAATAATAACAACGAGCCTCAAGAGCTGGTTGCAGGCAGAGAGTGCTTGAGTAGGGGCAGGCACAGAAATGCTTGTGGGATGAGATCAAAGCAAACCAAGCAGAACTAGCAGGGGATGGCACCAGGTGCCAGGCAAAACCAGGGAGTAGCCCAGGGCAGTGGATCTGGAGACAGGGAGTCTGAAAATGCTATGGTATGTAGACGGCTGATTGATTTAAGGAGTGGAATGGAATGGCCAGAGCATCCCATCAAGGGAAGAAGTTTGGCCATGGCATTTGGGATGAAATGAGGAGGAGCAGTGTGGAACACCACCTTTCAGAGGGTTTTACAGTTTCCAAGACAGAGGATTATTTAACTCAGGCAGGGTTTTTTGCACCCTCCCCTCTATCAAGGTCTGGAGTAGAAAGCTGACTGTAGCTCCTGTTTTTGAACAGAAAAGGGAAGGAGTTCTAGTGATGCTTGGAGGAGACTGTGGTGCCACACTGGAGAGACCATGGAGTGTTCCAGCAAGAGGGGAGGGATGGAATGAGGAGATGGTTGAAGAAGCAGATGGAGAGAGCAAGGTGCTACTTTGTGTGAGGGGTGGATATCTCAAGGGGGAGTGGAGGGGGGTGGAAAATGGGAAAAAAGAGAGAAAGAAAACAACAGGGTGATTAATGTCAGCTCAAAGTGAGTGGACAGTTACTGTGATGCAAGACCCTGGATGAGAGAATTGTGGAATGTATGTGCATGTGTGTTGGTTAGGGGGAGATACACAGCCAGTAACTGAGAATGACACAGGGAACAAATTCATAGCACTGAAAATTGGCAGAAGCCTCCTTTGAGGCTTTGCTTCCTCTGCCTGGTCAGGAAGAAACATTTTAATTTTTTTTTAAATAATTGACTGATGTTTCCTGTGTGCTGCCCAAAGTAATTATTTTATCTCCTGTGTGTTAGGTTAGAGTGGGGAAATAAAGGTTATATCTTCAAAGTTAAAATGGAAAAGACAATTCTGTCATCACTTCTATGGAAAGAAGCTTATTTAGGAATTAAGGTTACTTATACTTTTGATGAAATTCAAATACTTTCATATTTGTGACTGATGTATCTGTTTCTAAGCTGTGAGTTATCTAGCATCACATAATGGGATTATTCAGTGCCATTCTTCTCCTCTCCTCTTGTCCTTACCTGAAGTATGTTGATATTGATAAGGCTTGACATCTCTATCTCTCAAGTGTCTTGTGGCAGGTTTAGTGAATTGCTCCTGCAACACCATTAATGGTTTCTAAGAGATTTACCCTTACCAGATAATTTATGGTGATGCATGTTGAGTAGGGCAAAGTTTTCATACCAGGGATGTGAAAGCAATCTGTGTGGCTCTAAAACCAGAATTAGTGCCTATAAAAAATAAAATTGTTGGCAGCAGTTATTGCAGAAATATTGCATTTCCCTCTTAGCACCTTAGGATGGAAGAGTCACAATTTTAATCTAGGAATACCTTGACTTTAAAGATAACTTCTAAACATTGCTTTTTGCAGAACTTAGAGATCAAGGTCCTTTTCTGTTTTCAGCAGGAAATGAGACTCTACAGGTGGTGTAGGCCCAGGGTTAGTGGTGCTTGTGGTGGGGCTGTGGCCTCATCCCTGAGTGGCTCCAGCTGTGCAGCACAGGTGAGCAGCATTGCAGGGAACGAGCCATGGAGTGCCCAGGGGCACTGACCAACCCCAGAGGGCACAGAGGGCACACAGGTGCAGGGCATTAACTTGGGGGTATAAAAGGCTGGGCTGGAGGACAATACAGAGATGGTGCCTGAAGCCTTCTTGAATGCTGGTTGTGGCTCCACTACTCCTGACAGGTAGTACAGTTTTCACTTGTGAAATATTTTGCTCTGTTCTCATTTGGGTTTGAATGTCCTTCCCTAACTTGAATTAGTGTAATACAGGAGAGCTAACAAGACATGTAGTGTGGTAGAAATTTTCCAGTGTAAGAGGATGTGTGTTGACTGTCCCAGTTTCTTTTTTTGTCTGAAACTTTTCACGGTTGTCTCTCTTCAGTTAACATTGGAACTCACAGTCCTTCACTCCTGTGTGAAACTCCTTTTTCCACTTTGCATTCAAAACATAACCTTTCTGTCAAAGCCTGTGTCAAGGTTGCAGTTGAGACTGAAATGTTGCATAAAGGTGCTCCTGGAGCCAAGGTGACCTCTCCCACCCTCTAGCCCTGAGTGTTGTTGTGGGACTGCAATTCCAGATCTTTGATGTTTCCAGTTCATTCCCCTACCATCCTACTCAGCTTGGCTTCATCTGCAGGGATCTGCTTTGTAGGCAGAGGATTATTTTGTATTTGTCCTGGGTTTTATTTTCTTTCCAAGCCTAGCTGCTATAAGTCCCTCCTAGGAAAGAGGCAGTGCAATACCTGTGATGTGCCTACAGCCATTCTTAAGACTCTGGGAAAAATCAGCAAGGTTATGTCACTTACAGAGGTTGTTTCTATATTCCGAGCCCTTGTTTACACCTGTGGAGAGGGACAAGTCAGTGAACATAAAAATCCTTAAGAGGCAGTGCTGATTTTTGACCAAAGGCATAAGATTTTTAACTAGGAAATACAAAGAGTTTGTGGATGTGGATTATTACCCGTTTCGAAAATCACTGGATCCGGGCTGTTTAGGAGAAGTCAAGTTTATGAATTTCTTATCTTCAACAACTCTTGCAAATGTCATGCAATAATAATTTGTCTAAGCTTCTAATTAGATCTGCAATCAGATGCAGTTTGCAGCAGTGTTCCTTCCTAGTTCCATGTCTGCTTATCTGTCCAGCCTAGGCACACTGACATCATCAATTACATGGATCTAATACTCCAAATAGATGTTTCCCAGCATACAGGGAGTTTTAGACCAGCTGATGTTTTTTGGGGAGTATTTTATCCATGAGCTGTGTGTCCATGGCCTGTGTGGAAGTGTGAACTTCCATCACTGAATGGGAAAATTTTCCTTTCAGTAAATTAATTCACCTTTCAGTAAATTAATTTTGATCTCTGTGATATTTGACAAGTTTTTGCTGTATCCAGTGTCTTGCACTAAACCATGATGAAGGAATGAGACTAAAGACTAACAAATGCAATGATTCTGCCTCTCAGCTCGGAAATGCCAGTTAAATATCACTGCTGTTTATTAGGTTCCCATGGATTTTGAGTGGGCTTAAATTTGCTTTCCAGTGTCCCCTACATCTTAAAGGCAGCTAATAATCTTTCCTGGATTCAGTCCTGAAGACATCTCTGAATCCAACTGATGCAGACTATTAGGAATAAAAAGCTGGAATTGAAGCAATAATTTTATTTGATAAAAGCTTCCTTCATCTTTGATCAAACGAATGTACAGTTTTATGCCTGTTGCTTACACTCATGAAAATGTTTCATGATAATTCCTCTTCAGTGTGTCTCCATGTAAAAACAACATATTCTGTTCCTAGGTAGTTAAATCTTTTTTGGTAGTTGCAAAAGATCAGAAAAAGAAAGATAGAAACCACCCATAAAATATGTTCTTGAAGGAAAACCCGTTGTGCTTATCTTGTCCTGTCTATACAAGTCAAGTGATGGGAAGAGCTTTCCCTGTAAAGTCAATTAGTCATCAGATTTTTAAACACTTCATATTGAGGTTCTTTATTCATTCCTGGTATCTAAATATATCTCAGATTACTTCATTGATAAGAAGTCCAAAGTGATACGAATAACTATTTTAATTCACATTTCATGTTCTTCTACAAAAGTCTCTGAACATCTATGCCAACAGCAAGGTGATTATATTTCTGGGAAGTACTTCTTAAGAGGCAAGACTGTGATAAACTCTTCTGTGTTTGGAGGTTGCTTGAAGCCCCATTTGTTGGTAATCAATTTTTTTCCCCCTCATCTAATAGAAAGTTTCTTTAAAAACCTTTACATTTATAAATTTTACCTTACTTTCTCTTTGTGTGGAGCATCTGTTTTTGTCCTTGTTTGAACAGAAAAGGAAGCAAAACTCTGGGGCTGGAGGGGACTGGCCCAGTGCTACCACCAGGCCAAAGGCAGAGC